GGGCCGGGCCTGAAAATTTTATTTAAAAAAAAGCCGGGCCGGGCCTGAAGATTGTTTTAAAAAAGCCGAGTCGGGCCTGAAAATTTTTTAAAAAAAACCTAGGACGGGCCGTAAAAAATCTTTAAAAAAAATCCGGGGTGTCCCTGCAAATGGTACATCTGCAGGCCTCTGTTATTCTTCTTAAAAAAGAAGAGAATGTTCTCTCATTAGTTTACTAATGGGAAGAGTTTATAAACCCTTTTAATACATTGGGAATTTAATCTAAAATATGTTTGAAATAATGCAGAGTATCCATAGCATTTTTTGGGACTATATCAACCATAGTTAATCTTATAAACATAAATATTCAGCTAGTAAGGCATCATAAGATACTTTAACATCTACATAATAAAAATCTAACAAATATTTTTTTTTCTATCACCATCTGAAAAAGGTTGGGAAGGCTTTTGTGGACGTTATTTGCAGATTAGTAAGTGCTGCATGATGAATTAAAAATTCATTTATTTGGGTTATAAATGTATCTGTATTTAAGATATACTCTTCTATTGATCCTATATTAATGTTTTAACGATGAGCTTGCCTTGCTACAAGTCGAGGGAGACAAATATTAAACACGTATAGCTCTGCTTTTGACTCAAAGATAAAATATGAAATTCTTCATCAACATTAGCCCTAATTTCCTTGAGTTCTGATAAAATGATCCCCTCTATTCTCATCTTCTTAATCAAGACAATGTCATGTTTTTGAAAAGTAATACTTAAAATAGTTGTATAATTAAATAATACATTCTAATGAGAAATAAAATTTGGAATAAGCATTGAATCCAATAATTTTCTTGCTTCTGAGGAAATATTTCTTTCAGGCCATTGTGATATTTCAGTAATAGCAAATGGCTCTTCTAACTCCTTAAAAGCTGTTACTGCTTGATGGCAGAGATTCTATCTCGTTGAAAAAAATTGCAATTTCTTTTTCCGGATAAGAAGTTCCAGAAAAATTATTATTTTACTAGAAATTTGAAAATGGTAGATAAATATTACGTCACTAAAAAATTGAAAATAATAAGTAAATATTTTACACCGGAAAACTTGAAATCGAAATTAATTGATTAAATAACTTAGTAGATAAATGTGATAATAAATGTAATTAAATATATATTAATATGAGATACTAATAAATATTAACAAATATAAATTAATATAAACAATAATATTGTTGAAAAATATATCCGGCATCTGCATTTTTTGGCTTTGGGGCGGATTTGCCCCCCTGCCCCCACCCGCTGGGTACGCCAATGCAGTTAGCTTTTGTGTCATATGGCAAAACTAGTATAGATTTATTAAGTTCAAGATTTTATGACAAAATTATGTTAAATTCATAGTAGGTATACCAAACATAATGGAATACATTTCCGGTAAAATGAGATTTTTAAATTTAAAAAACGCTCTCAAAAAATGATTTATAGTTGAAAAAATAACGCATTGCCGCTAACAAAGAGTGTTGACCAGATTTGTGGCATACATTTCCATAATTTTTAATTTATTTGAAAATTATTAGACTTGCAAAAAAAATGTTAAAATAACATCTTAATGTATTCTTATTAATTTTTACAAGTTAACTAATTTTATTCACAAACGAATTAAAAAATATGGAAATGTTTTAAATTAAATCCGTACAAATACATGTATAATTTATTTTATAATATTACCGACATTTAATTTACTTATAGTATATATTTCATATAATTTAATATTTATTCGCTATTTTTTAAACCCTCATCAGTCGTCAGAATATTCTCTTATTAAATTTGATTTTTTTGAAAATATCTATTTAATAAATTATTTAAAAATTAATAAAGAAAATTTAATTAAAAAATTAAAAAGCAACGATTATAAATTAATTGAAAACCTTACAATTTGTCATAAATATTTTATCACTATTTTTGATTGAATATATTTTAATCCATCACTATTTTTTCTTATCTTTCATTGTATTAGGATCAGAGATTCATGGGCCTTAATTTTTTGACCAAGCCTGGCTCTGGCTCGCAAAATTTTTTTTAGGCCCAAGCCCGGCCCTGCCCACATCAAATGTTAAAAAAAATTCCCAAGTCCGGCCCAAGCCCATGATAAGTTTCAAAAAAATTTCCCAAACCCGGCCCAAGCCCATATACAAAAAATTTAATTTTTTTTATTTAATGAAAATAAACAATATTTAACTATATTTAGGTTCATTTTGTTTACAATACTGAAATTTATTATTATTAGAAGGAAAAAAGGCAATATTTCTTTGAATTAGCAACTGTTTTAAATAATCTAAATTTAATAATTTTAGGTCCAAGCCCAGCCCAACCTCGGCCCATTAAAAAATTTAAAAATCCAGGCCCGGCCCAGACCCGCTAGAAAATATAAAATTAGCGGCCCGCAGGCCCATACCCGGCCCATGAAGGTCTCTCAATAGTAGTGAAGGTCACGGTCCGGTCTTTGGTCCGGACTGGACCGATACCCTCGGACCGGACCGGACCACTGTCCTTAAGAAAAAGATCGATCCAGACCGTGGTCCTAAATAAAAAACATATTTTTTTAACCTAATTTGATTTGTTTTATCATTTTATTAAATATAAGAGTATTATATAAACAATAAAATTTATCCAATGGTAATGAAAAAAATAATTTTGTGCTTGTAGAGGGCATATAAAAATTAAGAGTAGATTGTGTTTTTTGAGATATTTTCATTTTCATCATTAGAAGTATATATTTTATGTTTTATCAGATGTCTGCTTAAGGTACCTAATTATTTTATTAAGAATAAGGTTAAGTAATTTTTACAATAAATTATACAGACAGTTTCTTTAAAAAAAATAGAACTATATAATAACTAAAATATTTTAATAAAATTATTGCTTATTTTGATTAATTTATTGCTTAAAAAATTATAAACAATTATTTTGTTACTAGGTGCTGACGATACATTAAATTTGGTACTGCAGTGAACACATACTCTATGTTTTTATTAAGACTATAAGTAAAATGTTTCTTGAACAAACTTATGGTTTTCATATTGTAAAATAAAAATTAACAAAATCTAAAATGACTCCTCTAGAAAAATATCATAAAATAAAATATACAAAAATATTATATTAATTGTATAGTAAAGCAAACTTAAACAATAATAAAAGACCGGTCCGGACCGCGGTCTGGACCGTAAAAAATAAAAAGACCGGTCCGGGCCACGGTCCTCAAGAAAAAGATCGGTCCGACAATCGGTCCGGTCCGATCCCGGTTTAAGACCGATAGGACCGGACCGTTGACCTTCACTACTCAATAGGATTATTATGTACTTACTTTTTTAAAATTATAATTATAAAAATATTATATTGAATAAAATTCTTAGCAGATATTGGGCAAAAATGTATTTTTCAGACTAATTTGTATGGGCGACAGTTTGTCTAACGAGTAAACCATTTCAGATTGATTATTAATGTTTTATTAATAACCAAAGTGAATGGGGTGGTTAAAAAATTTTTAAACAAAAAAATCATCCATGGGCAGGCGGGTTAAAATTATTTTAAATCATGGACGGGCATATGAGCGAAAAATTCGCACAACTGCAAAACTCTAGTTTTAATATTTTTCATTCTATTAAATTTTGTTAGAAATTAATATCTAAATTTCACTAGTGCACTTTAATTCCCAATAAATGAATTAAAGTGTGTGAGGCTGGTTTTGTCACCTACAATAAAATTATTCTTGGCATGACCTGGTGAATAGAATTAACTTTTATTTGGATTGACCGACAGCCCTATTATAGAATTTATAATTAATTATGTTTAATATTGTAAACTGTTTTTTAAAAAAAAATTTGAAATTTTATATCTCGGATAGAAATTTAAAAGTTGTTAACTACTCTCAATCTCATAACTAGGCTAAGAAAAAGGTAGCGCTCCTACGTTAAATTCTGGACACATCGCACTTACTGTATACTCAATACCTTGAGGAAAAAGGAACTCGTTACTCGTTATTCAAAAAAGTAATTACTTAAAAGATACCAAATATTATATATAAATTATTGTTTTTACCCATAGATAATAAAAATATTCAAAAATATATAAGTTTTTTTTTGTTATTATTTTTAGCAACGATTGATTTTCAAGATTTTGATCAGATATAAAAGAGCGCTTAGTGTTTATCATAGCTTCGTTGTGCTAAGCACACGTTCAACTAGGGTAGAGGTAAGGAGGGTTATATTATATTTAATAAATAAAATATTTAAGGAATAATCTTTATTTTCAAAAAATAAAATTATTAGATCATCTTCACAGAAATCTTTATTCAGATCTTCATCAATTTATAAAAAATATTTATCATAATTTAATTTGAATTCATATTTTTACTTTCATGTATCTTTTTAGATTTGAGCTGTTTGATATTGAATATGAAGCACAATCCATTTACAATGTATATACTTAGTTCCTTGTTCTTTTCTGTAAAAAATTTTGCCAGGGCAAAATTAATCATCTTCATCTGATGAAATAAGTACTGTTTTGATTATAATCTTGGCTTAAGTTATTTATAAAATTTAAAAAAAAATACAATATTATAAAATAAATTTACTCCACATTTTTTAAGGAAAATTTTAAGAGTAACGTTTATTCTTTACCGTTATACAAATCAAATTTCTAATATATGATACATAAAACTAAATAGTATAGTTTCCCAGTCATGAGATTAAATATTTTTAAGTTTCGAAAGTTTTAAAGCTTTCTCAAATTTTAAAATTTTTGAAATTTATAAAATTATCTATATGTTTAGGACATGATGAGAATTTTTGAAATGATTTTATATTCGATGTTCCAAGGTTAATAAATAAAAAGTAAATATTTGTATTATTTATATAATAAAATATTTTTTTTAAAAAATGAAAAACAAAAATAATATTAAAAAAAATAAATAACATTTTTATTCGCTAGCAAATTTAATATAAAATTTATTCATATATTTATAATAACATCATTTTTTTTAGCCTATATTATTTTATTTTTTAATTATTGATTTGTGATCATCTGATAATTTTTAATTTTGAGTATATAACCACATTTAAAATTAAACCAACAATTCTCAACGACGCACAATAACTTCAAAATAGATAACAAGGTAAATTAGATTTTTCCATTTATTATTATTTAATCAATTTTGAAACATTTATCTTATTCTAATTCAGAATTTTTTCGGAACCCTGGACTAAAGAGTTTTGGTTTACAGTCACGGACTTTGATTTTTTATAGGGTTCTAATAGCTTCTTAAATTTGACAAGGATGAGAGGGTTCCTTGTTCTGGTTTTCCGAACTGTTAGTAATAAGAAAAAACAATTTGATTACCAAACATTATTAACATAACCCATGAATTACTTGCAATTTTGTTAAATCATATTTCTGGAAATTTTAAAATGGATCAGGGGCTGATTTGGGGGTCTGCAATTGGAGCCCGCCCGCCTCAGTGGTTTGCCTTGTTGGGTAAAACACGCCTATTGCAGACCTTTACTCTGATTCACATATATCTTAAAAAAGGGGGTTCCAAGGTTCATATTCGAAAAAATTAGCTTTAAGGATCTAATGAGAGCAAAATAATTTGGGGCCGCAAAATATTTTATTTCATCCTTGAAACTACAGACTATATTTTTGTAGGCTTATGTTCGGGCTACATTTAAAAAAATAATAATAGTAAATACTTTAAAAGATTTTTGGTATTGCAAACGCATCGTTGTATCTTTAATAAAGATAATTGGGCATTCCGTAATTTTGCTTTATAACTTGTGACTTGTTTTCTATTAAATCTATTTTCTGCTGACCCTGGCTTCTTTAAATAATTAACATGTGTTTTCAAATATAATGATTACTATGACTAATTACATATTTACTTACATTATATTTTTCTTTTTATTTGTTTTATTTTTAGTACCAAATTTTAAAGAAATTTACAAATGTTGAAATAACAAGTAGGCTAATTCAGCCAATTTATTATTTTATTTAGATAATAACTCGTTAATTTTTTTAAAAAAATGGCCTTAAATTAATAGATGAATTTCATATATTAGCTTATAAAAACAAAATCATCCATCTAAAATCAAACAAATGCGACTTTTTTTTGAATGAGTTTAATGTGAAAGAGCCGTTAACACTTACTAAAAATTTATAACTTCATTTAAAACTAATTTTAAAAATGTACTACAAAAGATGAACCTCATCTTAAAAAATTTCGAAATAGAATTTTAAGAACTTAAGTTTCAGCAGTTGCTTTTAGGGAATATAGCCTTTTTAATAACTGATATCAGCTTATCCGATTCTTATGACAGGAACCAAAAATGTGTAAAGGTTATGTTCATGGGCGAAAAAATAAAAATAGCTAACGGTTTAACTGCTTAAATTTTTAAAAGGTTCCGGGTCGCTTACCGGTTTAGAAAAATTACAAATTTTTTGGGTTTGAATTTTTTTATATCAAATTCACAGAAATATCTGAAATAATTATATTTGTTAAATAAGAGACCCTGATTTGACAAAAAATGTGTTTTAAAAAGGACACTATGTGTATATAATCCTCAATAAAAAATCTCGATATATAATTTTTGATCTCGTGATCAATTTTCTTCAGAGTAATCAAATGGCTCTTTACCCCAATCACCCATATCCCCATTTTATAATACAATGGCTTGATTACACCAAAACTCAGATTGCAATTTTATTTTAAATACTATATTCCATTTTTAATTTTAGCATTATTTTATTTTTGGAATATGATTCCCATTTGTGATCCAATTACCATTTATTATTCAATATTATTTGGAATTCTTGCCCTTGGTAGTAATAAATATTTAAGATTTATCATTAAAAAAAATAGATGTATATAAGTCCAGATTATTTAGATTTTATATATTGTAAATAAAATACGTAACCATTGAAAGTGAAAATTATGTTATCATAAAAGTTTTACTCTTTATTATTCAAATATAAATAGCAACAAAAAATCAAAATATGTGAGTTATTAGTAACAGATATCTACACATCCCGTAGTAAGCGGATCCTAAAAAATTTCAAGCTGTGCAGGGCGAAAAAACTTTTGCGGGCGGTGATAATCTTAAGTTTCAAGGAGTTTCTATTAAAATGGTTTTTTAGTTTAAAAAAAATATTCATAATAAACGTTATTCCTGCAGAAAACAATTTGCATTTTGAAATAATTATGTGCACAATAATAATATCTATAAAGATTACGAAAGGGAGAATCAAAAGAAATGTAAAGAATTTCGCATTTAATTTGAAAACTTCAGAAATATCCAAAAATTTGAATTAGTTATATTGATATAAATATAGAACCTTCATGGCTATTTTAAAAATGGAAGCCTTTCCTTAACCTTGATTTTTATCCCCCCTCCCATTCCATTCCTATTTTATTTACAAATTTTGAAAAAATGGCTAAAAGTGATATTTTTTAACACTGCTGTAAACTTTACTTTAAAAATCAACGTCATCACTTTTACATTACTCACCTGCAGAGGTATCATTTGCATTGCCCGGCCCGGATTTTTATGAAGAATTTTATTCGGCCCGGCGTAGATTTTTTTAAAATATATTTTATATATTTTTAATTTTTTTAGTTAATAATAGCGATTCAACATATTAAGTTTTAATATAGGGCTCGGCCCGGTTTTTTTTTAAAAAAAATTTCAGGCCCGCCCCGGTATATTTAAAAAATTAAACTACAACCCTGCTCATGTACCTGGGCCAGGCCGGATCTGCAGATCTCTGACGTTACTGTCCAAAAATAACTGCGTTACCACACTCGTTACTTTCTAAAAAAGCACGTGTTACTTTCATAGCATTCATTACTTTCAAAATAAAATATTATAACACATTTTACTATTTTTTTTTTTCCAGATATTATATAAATGATTTAAAAAAATTTTCCAGTTTTTTAAATACATTGTTCGATCTCTATAATTTCGTTCCGTAAGAAATCTCGATATAAATAATTGCTTTGCTTGAGGAACGTTCGATAAATTTAATTTGTCCACTTCTGCTCCTTTCCGTTACTATCTTTTTAATCCTTTCATATTCACTGCTTATTTTTACTAGGTAAATATCTTGAGAGCATATTAAATGCTGTTTTTATAATTGAAATAATTTCTTCCAAAACACGTTTCATTATGGGTAATGGACAATTTAACATAAAAATGACTGTTGCGAAATTATCAATATATGTCATTAAAATTATTATTAGTTGAATTAAAATTGGAAGATGAAGTTAGTCTACCATATCCCATATCTCTTTAACCTTCTACTCTTTATTTTAGTGATAATTAAAAAATTTTAATGTATTCAATAAAAAAAATTCCCATTGGATGAAGAATTGAGCTATTATTATATTATCAAAAATGAACGTACATAAAAAACAAAACACAATTATGAGAGGAAAAAAATATTATTCTATAAAATATGATAAAAATCCTGATTATTTGATCAAATAAACATAAAATAAAAATCGGGGATGCTATAGGGGAAATTTCGAAGTTTCCCGGAAAATTTCCCCTGTTACATCCCCACTGTAATACTTACCTAGACAATTCATTACTATGCATTTTGAAGCGTCGTTGAATACAAATCAGCTGGTGACACGCCATTTTTGGTTTCATATTTTTGAAAATTTTATGGGGTCCTCCTGATACTAGAAAAACTTACTAAATGTAAGTTGTTATACATAGCAAATCAAAATGGCATACTAACTGCTGATTTGAATTGACACACATTTAAATGAACGCATCATCAGTTTAGGTATTATATGACATACAATAACATAGTTTTTGTTGTGCCAAAGACTAATACAACTGATATTGGTGATGTTAATATTTAATTAAAATTAAAAAAATATAAATATATAATAAAATAATTTATAGGATAGCTCAAACCAAGAATGGGTTTTAATAAAATTTATCATTTTTTTGATAACCGGGCCATTGAAAAGTAATGAAAATTACTTTACTCAAAGAAGGTAACGTCGTTACCTCACACGTTACTTTCGAAAAAAATGTTTTTAAAAAAAATAAAATGCGAAGTTACTTTTATTCTATTTATGTTCCCACGTTTTCCTAATATTAATTTTGGTGCTCTCTAATCGTTATTACCAATAATTGAATATTATATCATTTGATTAATTATTTAACACAGAAGGCCTATATATTGCCGAAATTATGTAAAGTCATACTCGGCTATGGGCTGAAAAAATTTTCATTATTTTAGCCCTATGATTACGATTTTACAATATTTAGTCATATTTGTTGATGTTTAGATATAAATGCCAGAGGCCAACGGTCGCCATGGAGCTAGCGAACTTGACCTAGACCGATCTTTAAAGTTACATGGTTTTGGTAGAAAAAGAAACGAAAAATCAGATTAGGGTGTTTAATATAGAACATAAAATAGGATTAACATAATTTATTTGTTTTCACGTAAATAATCATTTAATTAATCATTCCTCATATCCGTAGAGAAAGGGGAGCATTTATCAGTTTTTTTCTGAACCTGCCAAATTTTTCGGGAACTTTAACAAATTATAATAAATAAATAAAATCCGGTTTTGATAAATTAATTTTTTTTGGCTCAAAAATTAAATTATAAATTTTTATAATACTTTTAATCAAATTTTATGCCAATTGAAAGGTTTATCTTTTAAAAACATATGACAGACTTTTTCAGAATTTTAAAAAGTTTTATCCCTTTATCTGTCTTGGTTTTTATATTTATTAAAATTTAATAATTTATTTATACTATTATATATTGATTAAACAGGTATTTAACCAGATTTTTCACAATTACAGGCTGTTTATTTTTTGTATTCATAATAATAAATAGAGGAAATTATTATTTCTATAATAAAATTTTATTTTATATTTTTTTTCTCTAAAAATAATAAAATTTTTAAAATATTTTAGTTACATACTTATTATTTGAATATTCTATCCTTACCGCGAATTGCAAGTCAGGTTCAGGTCAGTGGATCATACTTTATAATATAAATTATATTTGATTTTCCTGAAATATTGATCGTAATAATTCATTTCAAATATTACGGGTGACCAATATGTATTAGTTAATTCAATAATGCGAAAATATTTGAAAGTTTTTGATTTCATCTTGAAAAGATTTTTTGTGTGTGAACATAGATTTACTTATAAAAGTTGGCATTTTTAGGTAAAATTTGAATAAAAATTGCAAAAAAAAAACTTAGATTTTGCTCAAAATAGTTTATAAAGATTTTTTCCATACTCTGGAGTGACTTTATAGGGGACGCAATGAAGCTCAAGCCCCATAAAAACGTCTCCGAAAAATTTTGAATTATTTTAAAAAGTTTTATATATTTTAAAATAATTATTCACATTTTATTTAGTATACAGTCCTGCATGACCAGGCCGACGATTGCACTATCAATACTTAATTCATATTTATTTTATATTTTACTAGGGCCGTGCTGATTCGCAGATTTATCACCGATTTTATATTACTCAATTACCATTTATCTTTGAATTAATATCACAAAAAATATTTTCTATTTAAAAAAAACAACCAAGATTGATTTATTAAGTGTATTTTTTTTTATTCTCCACAAAGATTAATAATCGCATTTAAAATATTTGCAATGTTTATGGGTAAATGTAATGTTGTAAAACAGTCCCATTTAGCAGATAAAAGGGTGAAATCAATATTTTAGCCAAAATATTATTACCTAAGCCTCAAAATTTCTCTAATAGAAGTTCAAATCTTTCTGTCATATGTGGGCAAAATCAATAAGCCTCTTCTTTTATTTATATTTAGGCCAATGGGCCGTTAGATTTTTTCTGACCTCTTTTGGTAATTATTGGGCAGGTCCTTTTTTTTAAGATGATCAGTTTTAACAGATTTGCATTTTGGCATAGTGTTTGAAATTCTGCCATATTTGCAAAAAACTTCCATTACCAAAATTTTGAAATTATATAATCTGATATACTGTAAATACGTCTGTATCACAGCCATTAATTTATAAGCAACATGTCAAATATATAAAATAAAATTCTATGACACCATTTTATTTATTTAATATAAATTCTTTATAACGAAAGTAAAGAATGAATGAGATCTACACATCACATGAATTTATTATAAATTTTAACGATAATTGATATGCTTAATAAAGTCACAACAGGATTGCCGTGCCATTTCACTGAATTAAGCTCTACTCCGATTATTGTTATTTTTGAAACAAAAAATCTTCGCCACTTTTTTTTCACCTCCTTGTCCAAGGAATCAAATTAACTCCATTACTACAAATCATAAGGAAGATCAAATTTTTAAAAATATATATCTTAGCATGGGAAATGGGGGGGGGGGGGTGTTATGACATGCGTTTGTGATTTAAGGAATTTAATTTTGTGGGTAAATTAATATTAAATATTATTTTATTTTTTAAATAAATGCATTCGCATATATTTATTGTTTCGCAGTAATGCGCTCCCGATAATGACTTCGCGCAAATACATTCGCGGTAGAAAATTCGCTATGAAGGGTTCGCAATATAAGTTTTGCTATAACGGGCTCGCGATAAAGGTTTCGCTAAAATATATTTGCTCTAAAGTATTTGTGGAAATATATTCGCGATATTGTCTTTGCTTCACGATGTTATCTTCGCTCGTTAAACGACATTCGCTATAAAAGTTTCACTGAATTGACCTGATACAGATTAAGAAGCTTAGAATATGAATTATAAAATATTTATGCAAAATATTATTACTAACTTAACTTCATTACACCACATATAACAATATATTTATTTTAGATAGCCAATCAAAGAAGAGATGAAAGTTATGCACTTAAACAACTCTCAAAATTCTTCCTTGCACAATAATATTTCGATAAACGATATTAGGCCCACTTCCCCAGCGTCGACAAATGCACCTCACAAAATTGTTATGGATCAATATGAAGGGGAGGTTTCCAAATTTTGGGATTTGTACATTGGTTCGCGAACTGAAAGGGTCAAAAATTATTCGGACACGCTTGTTACTACACTAAGACAAAAAGGTTACCATAGGATATTGGATGTTGCTTGCGGAAATGGGTAAAAACAACTTCTTTTTAACCTAATATTTAGCCAATCTATCACCTAAGCCTCTACTTTTGAAAATTTGAAGAGTGCATAAGAAAGTGGGAGTAGTATTGAATCTCCTCCCTTTAACGCACACTTACCTTGAGTATTTATTTATTAAATTCATTTCGTAGTAAAAAATCAGCTGGTGACACCCTATTTTGGCCATCCATTTAACCATTTTTATAATAAATGAAACTCTTAAAATTTTTTGTAATAAATATTTCATACATTTTAATGTAAATTGGGAAACCAAAATGGCGTGTCACCTATGATACATATTTTTGTACGAATCTTCAGGTGATATTACAGTCATTGCTCGGACTTCAATGCTCAACCGATTTTCTTCGGTAGCCTATAAATTGAGCCCATTTTTTATAGCCATTACCCACCTATGCTTTTGAAAATGTTCTAAACTAAAAGCATACTCTTTTATTAATGCAATTCTATTAATATTTTAATTCACGAAATAAATTTGTTGATGCAATATTAATTAAGGCTTAAATAAAATGATTAAATTAGCATGAAGTCCCTAATTTATTTTTTGCTTCCAAACTGTCCAAATATATTTTATTTGTAAGATTTTAATAAACTTTTAAATTTATTAAAATTTTGGAACCCGTACTAAAAAAAATGGTTACGTTTCTAAAAATTGAAAATAAAAGAAGTGGTACTGATTCTAAATATGAAAAGTGGGGTTAAATAATGCTTGCATTTGACGTGTTTAGGTTGCAGTTCATAACTTTGTTCAGGTTCCAAACTATGAATCGAGTTTGGGTGAAGTAACCAGAGATCTAGATTTGATCCAAAAACTCCTGATGGCATTATTAGAAAATTGAGTTTGAACGCACTTAGTTAATTGACAGTTTTAAAAAATAGATAAAATTAGGATGTTAGAAATAAAATTCAAACAAATGTTTAAAAAACTATATCAGCAATTTAAAGCAAAAGTTAAATATTTAACAATTCCATTCCAATATTTTTAATTTAATTATGCCTATAAAACTATTCGTTATTCATTCAAAAATTCGAATCAAATAATGAAAATACATTATTCGTTGAATAATATTATATCGAATTATTCGAAATCGTATAAAATTATTTTATATTTGTAAGATAAAAATTATTCAAAAATATTTTAAACTATTCCTCCTATTTAATATGTTCCTAGCAAAGGAATGATTAACCTTTCACATATATTTTCTACTTCACTCTACGCATTTTGATGCAAACCATGATTAACTGAAATAATGTATTTTTATGGATTTGGATATGGGCAAAGGCAAACAAAATTGGGATAATGGTATAAATTTTATTTGAAATATGCTTAATTAATAGGTGATTTTATATATCAGTAATTAACTTTTTTTAATATATAATAAAACCTGTGTTATCTGGGCATAGTTGGGACCAAGATTTTTGCTCAAATTGGCATTTTCTAATAGATAGTAGTTAATATGAATTTGAATGGGACACAAAATTTTGGTCAAATTAGGAAGTTGGCCGAAATAAAGAGCCCAAATTAAACAACTTTGACTGTACACGGTTTTTCTTCTATTATCGACTCAACAAAATCTCTTACCTGGAAAAAATGATTTTCACAAATTTAATTCATTTATTTTGTTTTGTAAAAATTAAATTTTTTCAAATATATGACCAATCAAATAATGTTCGATTTGTATTTTTATAGATCTAAAATCCACATGATATAATTAAATTTAATGAAGAATTATATATACAGTTGAATAAAATAATCTTAAAATCATCATCTTATTAGTTTCATTATCTGTTTTAATAAACACATCACAATTAGAAAAGTGTGATATACAATTTGATCTATAATATCACAATAAAATTATTAAATATTTTAAAAGCATTCATATTCCTCTGAATTAGATAGTTGGCGAGAATATTATGTTAACTAGGGGAACCAGTATTTTGTTGTCACATATATGCATATTATGTTGAATAACTATCATTTACTCTAGTTCTTGGGTTAAGTTTTAGTCTGTTCTTAATTATTGGCTATAATAGTATTATTGCTTGCTAGTGGGTGGTATTGATAAATGATACAAAAGCAACCTTACTGATGGGCTGATTAAAGCAAAGACCTTTCCACCAGATGAGAGTATTTGATTTTCTTTGACCTAATACTTAGCTATATTTGCTATTATAATGCCTATGTCCAGACAGAGTTTTTTAGCTACATGTGAAATTGTGCATAGCCCTATAGAAATTTGTCTATGAGATAATAGAGCACCATTATAACGTGAATCAAGGATATTCGCAAATGACAATCTCCAGAACAAAATTTTTCTCGCCTCGCTAAGAGATTTAGTGCACATTCTTTTTAATTGCCTTCGAAGTGATCAGAACAAGTACAAAATTTGGTATGTATGTTTTTAAAACAAAAGATCTAGTGAAGGATTTGGGGATACTATTGCATCTGAAAAGAGGTACAATTTTTCAAGCTAGTCCCATTTATCACTGTCTAATATGATGAATCTCTTTTCTTCTGTAAAGATAACATCTTGGAATGCTAACTCTTGCAATAAGGCTTTATTTTTCAGGAATCATTTTGACATTATCGACCAATTTGAGGGGAATTTTTATGGTTGCATTATCAATGCCATAAAACTCTTGCTTCTTTGATATATTTAAGGTATTTGACTATTTTTCTTGTTTTAATTATGAGCCTTTTTATAGAAGGGATTTTTTTAATGATATCTTTGAACAGGAAATTGAGACCATTATTGGAGTATCCAACACTCATTATTTAACACTATAAATATTAAAACAGTATATAAAAATATATAAAATTACTAAATAAAAATATTGAACCTGTAAGTTTTGTTGTATAGTATATGACTTCACCTTTTCTTATATCACTAATGACGTCCGTGATCTCTTTATCGTTTTGAGTCTCTAGAACTACTCCCATAGTTCCTCGCATGACTCGTCATCTTATAGGGTACCACGTTGAACTTGCCCGACCTGTGGACTATCTTGTAATAGCGAGCCCCCATTGCAATGTTCCATTCTTGGAGTCTCGTCGACATGGCGATGTTATCTTTTAAGCGTTTGGTGAAGATATATATCAGCGGCTTGTGGCCCTTTATTATAGTTAACGTCGTCCCAATGAGACATTCTTGGCTCTTGGCGGCAAATATTATTGCCAATGCTTCTCGCTCTATACTGTGTTGACCTCAGCCACAAAGATCTCGAGGCAAAAGCTTTAGGCCTTTCCTTTCCGTCTTCTTTTATGTGAAATAGCACTGCTCCCAGTCCTTGTTTGGATGCGTCTGCTGCAATGCCAATAGGTTGGTTGGGGTTGAAGAAACTTAATGTTGGTGGTTGACTAATGAGCAATTTTAATTCGTCGAAACATTTTTGGTGACTTTCGTCCCAAAACCCTTACCACATATTTTTTTATTAGTCTCATTATCCTTCTATCCTATCGTACATTTATATAACCCTAAAATAATACATTACAAACCTTAAAAGGTACAATTTTGTAAATAAGGGAAATTCAATGTTCTTCTTTTGAAATGCTATTTTTGATTAAATCATATCGAATTAGATTAAGCGTTAATTCTATCTAAATAAACAATATAGTTTATAAATTACGATACTTGACATTAAAATAATTCACATGATAATTGTATAGTATATGCTCGAATTATTCTGGTTTATACATTATTTAATTCCCATAAGTAACTAGAAGGTTCGAGAATTATAATTTCTTATGTACGTTACTGGAAAGTTCGAGAAAACTTTAGTGATTTGCATAATTATATATAATAATATGATTTTATTTTATATTAAGAATATATGTAAATTATATATTTACTTATAAAAGGACATATACAATAATTTACCACCATTTATTTGGAATTGGAACATACACCATTATTATTCTAGCATTATTCATTATAAATCTTTTTATATTAATGTTTGATGTGTAGATTATTATAATTAATTTTTTTAAAGTTATAACATACCAACCATATTTAAAAAAATTTTTGTTTTAAATAATGCAGAATAGATTCAATAATGCTCCTAGAAAATGGTTTTGATGTGGTAAGTATTGATGCATCGGACAAGATGTTAAAACCTGCTCTTAAAACTAGGTGGAGCCGAAGGAAAGAAAACGCGTTTGATAATTGGGGTTATTATTTTTTTTTAAATAGATTTTTTGGAATATTTTATAAATATTATATAGAAGGTGATATGCAAAAATCAAAGTTCTTATTTATTAATATTAACCTAGACTAAACTAACGATTCATTCATGACTATAGCTGATTTCAATGTATGTATTGCCTAACAATGGCTTCTACATCCAGACATTGATTACAGTTGATTTTAATGTACGCCCACTTTTAATAAACGAATCGTCATCTACGCTAGAGTTAATATCATTGATTTTCGTAATCTATATTTGTATGAGGTTGGTGTAGTTCGGTCCTTGTAAATTGTTAAAATTGTTCAGCCTGGTTAAAATTATTTTATACTCGGTCAGGCTCGTAAAATAATTTTGTACGAATCTAATTTTTTTACTAAAATATATTCCAGTATATGTAGAATATGTTGTAATATGTAAATTTACTTTGAAATAAAATCGAGAAAAAAGAAATAATATTCAAATCGACTGTTAAACAGAAAAACGAAACGAATTATTATATTATTTGGGTAAAGACGATATAAATGAATAGTATAGAAAAGTATATATAATCGAGGATATTTTACTGGTTATAAATTTTATTATGAATTTGCGAATATAATTTTTAATCTTTTTTATATTATTTTAATTTTTTATTTTAGTTATGATTATGTAATTTCTATTTATATTAATTAATAAAGTATTAGTAGTTAATTTATACTATTTATTTTATTCTCTAAATTCTCTCAACCACTACATTTGTTGGCCGAAACATTATGTTCTATGGACATATTCGGTCTAATTAACGTTTCATTATTTGACAGAACACTTATTCTTTAATTCGAGACAATTTGTGGATGAACTTTTGAGTCATTTTAATTTATATAAAGGCAATAAAAGGATGACAAAGATATTATTCAGGAAATACATGTATATTACCTGATTAAAGAGCATTGCCAGTAACATTTTAAGAAAATTTAAAAAAATTAGTATCATAAGCCACTTATAATTGAAAAAATTGGGGAGTCCTTCTTTGTCCTAGCTGTTGATTTGTCTATTATTATATACCAAAATTTATCATCTTTACCTACATCTTTAGACACCCCATAAAAAATTCCAAATTTGATGGGAAATTAGAATTGAAAAAAGGAATTTGAATTAGAGGAAACCAGGGTTAGCAAAGAGCTTGTGGGTTCAGCGGATTTTATTTCAAAACCAGTAACGATTATAAAGTAAATTTTTGCTCTAAAATAGAATTCTTTGATATCCATATTTAGGGAAGAAAATAATGTATATTATTTATCTATTTATTTTTATTTGTTATGACATGTTCTTGACTTGGAAATTAAAGATTTTCACTACATTATTAGGTTATATAAATAATTAAAATTTTAAACATGACAAAATGAACAATATATGAAAAGTAAAACTCTATTTTAATATTTAGGAATTCAGTTTGATATGTAGGGCCTAAATATATGTTAATCATATTAATAATTTTACCGTCATTGGGGTTAGTAGAATCGTGGTTTGTCAGTGTAATCAATCAATTAATTTTTATAATATTATTATGGTACTCAAATATATAAATATTCCCAAATAGGAAAATTTTCACCATAATTATGAGGAAGCAATATAATTATATGAAAATGACATGTTATTAAGAAAAGTAACATCTATTACAGGTTAGAATATAATATTTTTTAAATTTAATATAATGAATGATAATTATTATGTAAATCATATTATAAAATTTTCATAATTTTGAAGATTGGTTTCAATGCAAAGTATGTAAAGGTTGGGTTCATGGGTCCTGCACCAAAAAAGATTGCTATTTTGTTTGTTATAATTAAAGCGTATATAGAAATCTGAGGAAAATATTTTTCGTGTCTCATAGGAAGCCTAATAAACCACTTGATTCTACTAGTCCCATCGATGATCGACTAACCACTGGTTTGGGACTACTAGATTCAACAAATCACTTTTGCTAAACCTTTTTTAGACAAAAAATTGTTAAGTATTTAAAAAATATAACAGTGTATATTTATAGCTAAATGTTTAAGGTTCAATTGGTATTTTGCAAGATCTTATACAATCATTATTTTTGGAGCTATGATTATTTTGACAAAAATTTCGTCCCTGATCTCCCCTCTATTATATAATCCTAAAATTTCCCCAGTGATAAATTATATATTATATTTAAAATACAATAGTATATAATGTTCACCCGGAAAAATAATAATTGTATTGTATATAAAGTGAATTCGAATAAATCGACCCTAAAACTTATTTGATATTAAATTAATGGTTTCAAGATTATACCAAAGTGCTAGGTTAGAAATCTAGTTCGTTTTAAAAATAAAAAATTTTAAATGAATAAGGTCGATTGTTTAGGCTTCTAAATTACATTTCATTTCAATTTTTAAAGGAGAATCATTTTAAAAAAAAAGGCCATTTCACCTGGCTTAACATTATAAACTAAAAGAGCCACCTATAGATTAATTTTTAGACCCTGATTGAATTTAAACCTACAATGGAGGTAGGATCCGCTCCAAATTTAAAAATACCAGAACCCAAAACTCACTTTTTTAAAAAAAATAATAGGTGTAAGTACACTTGCTCTTGTTTAAAATTCTGGTTAGAAACCTTTAAATAAAATTAAGCAACCAAATACAAATTATACTTAAAATAATAATATGATAATTATATACTTTAATAATTATAATATTATTTTTTTTTAAAAGTATATATGTATATTCATGCTTCTCTTCCAAAATAAATGTGGTTTAAATAAAAATAATATTATGTCATTTAATGTATGTCTAAAAAAAGAAGAAAAGAATAATTTACAATAGAAATTATTAATATCACGGAAAAATTAGTTCAGCTTCGAGTTCCTAATTTTCTAAAGAAGATTCTTATTTTGTTTCTTACATTTGTCCAGGTCTTGAGGGTTTTGGTTCCAGCTTCAAAGGGGGATCAATAATCCATAACTAACTTAGCAATCCTAATATTCTTTATTTTTTAACCATTTTGTTGAATATGTAAAATAATTATTATTTAAATTTTACTTTATTTTTATAAATAAAAAAAAGCCATCGAAGAAGCTAATTGGTTGACACTTAAGGATGACTTAGAGAACTTGGGTTATGAGACAAATTTTGACGCTGTCATATGCTTAGGAAACTCTTTTGCTCATTTACCAGATTTGGGGAACCATCAAGAAGAACAGGTATAACTAATTTTTTAAAAACACCGGTTATAACAAATTTAAATTTAATCGATAGATGACAGTAACACACCTACTTCTCATAAGAAAAATAGTGTTATATTAAGTTGATTTGTCAATATTCGTATTGAGCGAGGCATGAAATTTTAATTATTAAATATTTCTTATCTAATAATAATTTTAAACGATATATATAAAAACCATACCAGCGCACAGCCTTGAAGAATTTTAGAGACGTCCTTAGACCTGGTGGATCCTTAATTATCGATCACAGGAATTACGATTATATTTTGAAAAGTGGTAAATGCCCATGCAGAAATATATATTACAACGTAAACCAACTCTCATTATATAAATGTTCGTTTTTCATGAATATATATATACATATATACTGTTAAACAGTATTAACTTTAAAAAATTGTTTTTTTTTACATCCTTAAGCCATTTATGGCGTAACTTAAAATATTTCAAATGTAATAAGAATTGTTTCTTTCTTTTTGTTAAAAAACAACTTTTATATTTTAAATCAATTTGTTTATAAACTAATATTAAATTTTATATTTTATAAATCAGTTTCTTTCTTTTTGTTAAAAACAACTTTTATATTTTAAATCAATTTGTTTATAAACTAATATTAAATTTTATATTTTATAAATCAATTTACTTAATAAACTAATGTTCAAATTTTTATTTTTAACTTTTAAAAAAAAGATCAATTTATTATAAATTACATTAAATTAAATTGTCAATATATATAAGAAACTATTTTGAATATGTGATCATTATATTTTTTATGTAATTTATAATAAATTGATCTTTTTTTAAAAGTTAAAAATAAAAATTTGAACATTAGTTTATTAAGTAAATTGATTTATAAAATATAAAATTTTATATTAGTTTATAAACAAATTGATTTAAAATATAAAAGTTGTTTTTAACAAAAAGAAAGAAACTGATTTATAAAATATAAAATTTAATATTAGTTTATAAACAAATTGATTTAAAATATAAAAGTAATTTCCATTTTGGAATTGTTTCATTTTATATTATAATTTTTTATTTAATTATTTTTATTTTTTAAATTTTACTCCTTTATTTTTCAATTTGAACACTTTTTTTATATCATAATTTCTCTTTAACTTGTTCTTTATAACAAAATTTCTCTTTCTCCTTCCATTTTCAACATATGATCTCCATATCGTATTCTTAATCTCCTTTTCAACATCATGATATTTAATCACCTTTGTTTTAATTTTCTTTTCCAAAGTTTTTTTAAATTTTTTATTAATTATAAAATTTTTTATTTTATTATTTTCTTCAATTTTTGTTTCATTATTGTTTTTAATAACTATAATTTCTTCAATTGTTATCAAATGATTTATTTCGTCTAATCTATAAGAATTTATTTTTTTAACATTTGGTATTATTTTTGGTACAGCATTTTGCTTTAAGCTGAAAAGGTTGCAGAAATCAAAGGCAGAAAATAAATGTTATAGACGTATATTACGTAAATTTATTGATATTTAAATTTAAAAAATATAATGATCACATATTCAAAATAGTTTCCTATATATATTGACAATTTAATTTAATGTAATTTATAATAAATTGATCTTTTTTTAAAAGTTAAAAATAAAAATTTGAACATTAGTTTATTAAGTAAATTGATTTATAAAATATAAAATTTAATATTAGTTTATAAACAAATTGATTTAAAATATAAAAGTTGTTTTTAACAAAAAGAAAGAAACTGATTTATAAAATATAAAATTTAATATTAGTTTATAAACAAATTGATTTAAAATATAAAAGTTGTTTTTTAACAAAAAGAAAGAAACAATTCTTATTACATTTGAAATATTTTAAGTTACGCCATAAATGGCTTAAGGATGTAAAAAAAAAACAATTTTTTAAAGTTAATACTGTTTAACATTTCACACTTTTTTTTTTTTTAAATTTTTGTCGTTTGTCATTCTTGCTCGTTCACCTCTTCGTTGATCTTTTTTTTTTGTTGTACGTTTTATCAATTTAGTTCCACACACAAAAAAACTAATTTTGTTTTAATATAAGGAAGAGGAAAAAAAAATTTATTATCAAATTTAATTCATTATAAAATTTTCAAATTTTCTAGGCAACACACTATTTCTAACTGGTCTTTGAACGTTGCGATTCTGATCATTTACTTGTACATTTTGGTTTCTTGGTTCATCACCTCCCCTTCTAAAATTCAATGTATAAGGTGATGCATTATTATTAACATTGGCTTTAAAAACTGTTGCACCATTAGAAGAAAGTTCTACATTAGTTGATCTTTTTTTTATTTGGTCCAAGTGTCTTTTTATAATTTTGTTCCCAGTATCTATATCATACAACAAATTTCCGTTTTTGCGCATTATTGTACCTTTTTCCCAATTATTATCTTTAAAAGTTTTATACCATATGCTGTCTCCTATTTCTATATCCCTATCTATTGATATCTTGCGATTTAGTATATGATCTCTTTCATCTCTCGGTTTTATCAACTCCCATTTTGTCCTAATCATTCTGGAGAACATTACTTCGCTTGGTATTTTGTTGGTCGTTGCGTTGGGTGTATTACGATAATTAAAAAGAAACTTTTCTAGAGCTATGTCTACGTCTATTTTATTATTATTTTCCATATTCCTTTTCATATTCATTTTCATTGATCTAATCATACGCTCACATTGGCCATTGGACTGTTGGTGGTGAGGTGCGGTGAGCAAGTGTTCGATTTCGTGATCTTCGCAAAATTTCTTAAATAATTTACTGGTAAAGTTAGTTCCATTATCACTGACTATTCTATTAGGTATACCAAATAAACTTATTATTTTCATCAATTCTTAAATCGTTGATTCCGTAGTTGTGTTTCTCATTCTCCTAATAATAGGAAATTTGCTGAAGGCGTCAACACATACCATAAAATTATTATCTTTGAACTCTGCAAAGTCTATGTGTACGCGCTCGAATACTTTCGTTGCTGTTTCCCATGGGTTTTGAATATTATGAGGATTGTCTGCGTATTTATTGCAAGCATCGCAATTCTTTACCTCCTGATCTATTTCTGCATTTAAACCAGGCCACCACAGATACTCTCTCGCTAATGATTTTGTTTTTCCAGCACCGAGATGCCCATTATGCAATTCTTGCAAAATCTCTTTTCTCATACCTTTCGGTATTATGATCCTATTCTCTTTAAAAAGGCAACCTTTGATTAAACTCAATTCCAATACCATATTTTTATACGTTTTGTTCTTTATCTGCTCATGATTCCTTATATCGTTGATTACTTCCATTAGTTCTTGATAAATATTAGTTTCTTTAACTATTCTTTTAAAATTTATTGGTGTGTCCCAAAAATTGTCATCAATTATTTCGTCATCTAACTTTTGTACCATCTCTTCTGTATTCATTAGTGGTAATCTGGACAAACAGTCTGGTACAATATTTCGTTTCCCGGGTCTGTGAACTATCGTAAAGTCATGCGCTCCCATAGCCAAGTTCCATTTTTGGAGTCGCATTGATATGGAAGAATTGTCCTTGAGTCCCTTCGTAAATATATACACGAGTGGCTTGTGGTCGGTAATTATTACAAATCTTGTGCCTATTAAATACTCTTGGAATTTTTTAACCGCGTAAATTACCGACAAAGCTTCTTTTTCGATATTGGTATAATTTAACTCTGATTTCAATAGTGCTCTTGACGCGAAAGCGATGGGTTTTTCTTTGCCATCACCCTCAATATGAAATAAGACTGCGCCTAAACCTTTCTTTGAAGCATCAGTTGCAATGCCCACTGGTAGATCCGGGTTATAAAAATTTAACGTAGGCGGAGTGCTTATGAGTTTTTTTAGAGCGTATGATTAGATCAATGAAAATGAATATGAAAAGGAATATGGAAAATAATAATAAAATAGACGTAGACATAGCTCTAGAAAAGTTTCTTTTTAATTATCGTAATACACCCAACACAACGACCAACAAAATACCAAGCGAAGTAATGTTCTCCAGAATGATTAGGACAAAATGGGAGTTGATAAAACCGAGAGATGAAAGAGATCATATACTAAATCGCAAGATATCAATAGATAGGGATATAGAAATAGGAGACAGCATATGGTATAAAACTTTTAAAGATAATAATTGGGAAAAAGGTACAATAATGCGCAAAAACGGAAATTTGTTGTATGATATAGATACTGGGAACAAAATTATAAAAAGACACTTGGACCAAATAAAAAAAAGATCAACTAATGTAGAACTTTCTTCTAATGGTGCAACAGTTTTTAAAGCGAATGTTAATAATAATGCATCACCTTATACATTGAATTTTAGAAGGGGAGGTGATGAACCAAGAAACCAAAATGTACAAATAAATGATCAGAATCGCAACGTTCAAAGACCAGTTAGAAATAGTGTGTTGCCTAGAAAATTTGAAAATTTTATAATGAATTAAATTTGATAATAAATTTTTTTTTTCCTCTTCCTTATATTAAAACAAAATTAGTTTTTTTGTGTGTGGAACTAAATTGATAAAACGTACAACAAAAAAAAAAGATCAACGAAGAGGTGAACGAGCAAGAATGACAAACGACAAAAATTTAAAAAAAAAAAAAGTGTGAAATGTTAAACAGTATTAACTTTAAAAAATTGTTTGTTTTTTTTACATCCTTAAGCCATTTATGGCGTACGTAACTTAAAATATTTCAAATGTAATAAGAATTGTTTCTTTCTTTTTGTTAAAAAACAACTTTTATATTTTAAATCAATTTGTTTATAAACTAATATTAAATTTTATATTTTATAAATCAGTTTCTTTCTTTTTGTTAAAAACAACTTTTATATTTTAAATCAATTTGTTTATAAACTAATATTAAATTTTATATTTTATAAATCAATTTACTTAATAAACTAATGTTCAAATTTTTATTTTTAACTTTTAAAAAAAGATCAATTTATTATAAATTACATTAAATTAAATTGTCAATATATATAGGAAACTATTTTGAATATGTGATCATTATTTTTTTTAAATTTAAATATCAATAAATTTACGTAATATACGTCTATAACATTTATTTTCTGCCTTTGATTTCTGCAACCTTTTCATATACTATTTTTCATTATGAACAATTCTTTATTTAAATAAAAATAATAATACATTTTTTAGAGCAAAAATATCAAAGATATAACTACCTCTCTGCTCTACGTTAACTTTATACCAAAAATGATAGCATTGGATTATGATTTAGAGATACCTAAGCCAGGCAAAGGACAAAATGGGGAACAAAATCTTATGTAATTCATTTTGAAAAAAAAAATGTAATAGGAATAACGCACAAAATCCTTTTAGCCATTATAATTAACTTTTCAATGTTAGTTCTTTTTATCTTCTCAAATATACAATAATTAGATTATGTTAAACATAGTTTTAATTATATATAATACAGTGAATCTATATGGTTGCTACACATAATTAACTTTTAGTATGTAAATTAAGAACTGAACCCAGAAACCCGACCAATATTATAAGAATATGAATTGAAGATGATTGAAAAAGCCGACTGAAAATTAAATATTAAAATAAGATTTTGGAAGGGTGGACCATATCTAAAAAGAATCAATATAAGGAGGTGGTCATATTTAAAGATTTTACTATATTACCAGCAGTATACGTAATAAGGTAATAGTTAGAAGATTCCCACAATATTTTTTGGGGACATTTTTAGGTTTGAATATCTAATTTATTTTTTCCCATAATATTATTTCCTGTGTAAAATACGCATCCTATTAATTTCAGACAATTTGGTCCTGAACTTCTAAATCATTACTAATTTATATACTGGCGATTATAGGTGGGTAATGGTTTAGTTATAGAAATTGTTATAAAGATTTTAAACTATCTAACTTTTTAAAAATAACTATAGCTATTTGGTCATATTTATAAAATAAATGACTACATAGTCAATTTTAAATAGCTCGTAGTCGTACTAGCATATGAATTTATATATTAAGGCTTAAAATAGATAAATGAAAATTCTGATCATTATTAAAAAAAATAAATAATATGTAACTATGTATAATTATTCTCATAAGGGCTATAACTTAATAAGAAAAAAACATGATTTACTATATATCTTATAAATAAAAGCCTTTCTACAAATTTAAAGAAATATTTTCAGAATTTTTGACTTTTTGTTGATTTTTAAGAGTCGGGATAAATTAATATTATGATTAAAAGGATTTTTTAAAAAAATTTATACGTAGATTTTTATTATTCCATTATCTCATATAAAATAATGACAAAAAATATGTAATCGAATCGAATCGGTGAAAAAATTGTGGATCGGTGCAGCCCTACAAATATTTATAATTTAATAAATATATTTTTGGTATGCTTTATTTAAAAAAAATGTATTAACATTTACAAGTTCTTTCCGTCTCACTTACTATCCTCATTTGTTGAGAGCATTTACCAAGCTTTTGCAAGACACATTTGGTGAGAACGCGAAATACGAGGTAAGCAGTGATTTCAATAAACAAATTATGGCTGATCAGCTGGAAGGGAAAGATCCATCATTTAATCCCGAGACTAATGATACTGCATTTTACATTCATTCAATCGAGAAAAATTGATCATTTTTATCTATCATTTAATTTCATTATTAATTTTTTATTTTTGAAATTGTCAAGAGAAAATGTTATATAAATATATTTATAATCATAATTTATGAGACAACTCATTTTTATTAGTTTTGATGGGCCATTTTAAAGCCAACGAAATAATAATAATTATTTATTTTTATCTACAATACAAACGTCAAAATGAAAAAAAGTTGTTAATCTTTTAAGCACTCCTAAATATGATATTAAGTTTTGGTACCCAATTCATTTGTGTTTAACAAGTATATATAATGATTTAACCAATATTAACAATAAAACAATCATATTATTTATCAATGCTGATATGATACCTGTAGTAGCTATTAAGAGTGGCGCACTAATTTTTTTTTAAAAATATGTTTATAATTGTTAGGCTATTTTTTTTCTAGTGGCTATTGCTAAAATTAGTTATTAAATTCAGTTTTATTTTAAAATGATGATTATAAATTATTTTTTATAATTTTAAAATAAATAAATTTTAAAAAAATTTAAATTTGTGCAAATCTTTTAACCTCGTCCTACTGTCTATCATAAATGAGATTTAAAATTTATAAATTTTATGTAGGAAAAGGTAAAACAAAGAGAGGGAAACATGAAATGAAAATTATCAAACAAGCTCCTGACCTGATATTTTTAAATTTGATTTCAGATTCCTTCAAAAATATTTTACATATAAAGCCTTAGCGTCGCTAACTCTTTACATAATGGAGTGCTAAAAGGTGCTAATTAATTTTTATAAAAGTTTCTGTGAAATTTTGTAGTATATAATTTATGGGGGGGATTCGTGGTCATACCCCACAGGTGTAGCTTCGGGCGGCTATTGCTTGGGCTTCGGCCAGGTTTATGTCTATAAATTTATATCTTCTACTATAATTAATTATAATATACAAGTATTCTAATATAATATCAAACACAAATGTGCAAACTAAACTCAAACGTTTTACCCTCATAAATAAAAATAACCCCAATCTAAAAGCTTAAAAATTAGCAAAATAATTTCACCAAGTTCATCCTTTGATTTTGAATTTTTTCCGAATTAAAATCAGAATTATTCAAAAATTAAATAATTTGGAAAATAAGCGAAAAAATGAATGTATACTGAATTTAAACAAACTTAACGTATTTGTTTCATTTTGATATGTATGATCATATAATAAAATAAAAATTATGGAAGTAAATTATAATAATTAATTATTTAATGCCGCAAGAAAAATAATAAATGTTTAAAATAAGCCTTAAAATTTCTTATTTTATGATCTCCAAACTCGGAACTCCAACCCTTTTTTAAATGTTTAACTCTGAAACCGCACCCTATTTCTTTGTCGAAGGGTTCACATTCTTGGTACAAATTATTACATTTATGAGGTTCTTGGTACCATATGAAGCCATTAAAGATTATTTATTGAATTTAATTTAGACCTATTGATGGACCTTACTCGTTCCCAAAAGGTTAGAAAATATGGTTGAGACAAAAATATAATTCCATCATCAAGGGCAAAAAAACGAAAGTTTTGACAATTTTATCTGATGCAGCGGTTTTCCAGCCTAGCAACAGTTTAAAATATTGACTAGGTGTCTAAATTTTAAGAAAGCTGCCATAGACATGAGGCGATGGGATTAATTTACCCGATTTGGATAATGACCTCTGAACCTATTAAGCGGATAAATTAAGAAAATGCACCAATGAAGTTCAATAATATGGAGCTTTGAGCTTGGTACCCTTATAACACATGCCATAGTTTAAACGCCACTTTACAGCCTTGGACAGATCTTAAATTATATGGAAGATAATAACTAACTAGCACACACTAGCCCGGAATAATAGCAACGAAAGACCTATTATAAATTAGAGTTTAGGGGAAATGTGTTTGTTACAATACCATTAAATATCAATTTAATTTCATTATGACAACAGTGGTCGTATTACACATCATGGATTAACCTAGATTTATGGCTTTTTATTAACATCTCGACCAAAGAACATAAGAGAACTCCGTGCTCTAAATATATGTTTTAGTAGAGAATTTAATTATTTATATTTCCAAGGTCCCAACAAGTATAAAAAATTTCTTTATAAAAATAAATAGACACATAGTTGATGGTCCTCTATTATATAGAATTGGTTGCAAAATATTAGGTAAAATGCCACTTTTGTAGACATATTTGACAGTTATAGAATATATTATAGTAAATATTTTAATAAACTTTACTAATCAATGCTTTTGATTATAAATAGAAGTAACAATTTGCATTTAATTCTTTCGGCATCTATTTATAATAAATAAATATTAAAAATTAAACATCTTATTATTCAGCGGATGTAATCATTATTAATTATCTTTTTTTACGTGTTTCTAAGATTTTCTTTTTTGAAAAACAGTTTTGAGTTAAATTTTAAATGCGAGTATATTTTTTGATATTATTACAAACTACTATTATTTTAAGACATAATGTACCAATAATATATAAAATCTTAATTGCTTTCATTATATCACTCTGGTCCTTATTTTCTGGTTACTAAATGTTACATTTCTAATATGGCATCCTTACCGTGTAAATAACTCAAGGCTTCAATATATTTTCATATTTATTTCTTCTAAAAATTTATAGTGTTTTAGTTTTATCATCTAACATAATAAATTCTGATATGAGTTTACATCGTGAGTGTCATGGCCATGACTGCAAATTAACCATCATCTATTATTTGTGTAGCTATGTAATTTAATATTATAACTCATGCTGCGAAGGGCATTATATTGTATAATTTAGATAAGCAATATTAGTCAACTGTCTAGTCGTTTATATATCATTAAAAATGTAAGGTATCTTTTAAAAATTTATCTCACAATAATTTTCTCGGCTAATCTAGCTCACATAATGTCATTTAGGTCTAACCATCATATAGTTTTATAATTTGAATTAGTCGTTAATATTCACTTCTTCTAGAATTATTGTGGTCAGCCCTATAAATTTTTCATTATTAGTCAATTCTATAAAACATTGTCTAAAATGGTAACACAACGTTATATTAGTTTAATGATCTTTTGTCAATGTAGGTTGCTAAAAATTATATTGCCTTGTGTGGTGTATAAAAACCATTATCAATTGAGGTTAATCTTTTTTATCATTTGTAATTCTTTAGACAAAAAATCTTATTTTTTAATGTGTTATATATTTTTTCATGAACTTTATAAATTAATACATACAAAATAAATTATTCCTAAGAAACTTTTTGTGCATTAATTTATATTTCCAACATTTATATTTATTATACTTTATATATAAATTTTAAAGGCTCAAAAAATTCAAATTTCTATTTTGGGTCATTTATTCTATAGTGATTCATATGCTGGTTATATCCACTTAATATTTAATAATTCATATTTATTTTATAGTTTTTCATATGCCGCCGGTTATATCTGTTTAATTTTTTTAATTTACATTTATTTTATAGTTTTTTATATGCCGGTTTATATATTTAATTTTTTATAATTCTTTAAAATTGTGTATTAGAAATAGTTGTTAGTCCTTATTATCTTTATAAAATATTTAATTATTCCCCCCCCCCTACCCACAGCGAATTCCTGCATACGTGCCTGGTCTCCCAATTTTATAAAATTAAATTTTTTTTAGGTTTAATATATAAAAGAGCATCCATTGTGAATTTGAATTTCAGTAATTTTTTTTATAATAGTAGATGATGACATAATTTAAATACAAATATATTTTCATGGAGAGGAAAGTTTTTTAAATATATAGGAGAATTTTATTTTTTACAATAATATATTATTCAAAATTATTAAACAACCGATTGTAGCTTTTGTGCTATAACCAGTGTTGAATTATTCATTTAGATTATCTTGTTAGTTGGAAATGGTTTTATGTTTCTATTTTATTTAAAATCAAAGACTAGAATAAAAAAATGTTCGATTTATCATAATATATTTTTCCTATTAATAGTAGACTTTCTATATGGAGTATTTGTTACTTCTCCTGTACTCAAAATAATTGCATTCCTTAATAATAATTTGAGCCAGAAACAATTAAATGCACTAAATTCTTATAGGTCTGGTTAGATTATGACATTGCATTGCGATTTTATAACGATATATTTGGCTCTATGTCGGGCTTGTAAGATATTGGGTATTTACCTAATCAACACAAGTATATGGCATTTGGTTTTCTAAGCTTTTGTTCAATATACGGCCTTAAAATTTCCACATTTTTACAACCATTTTGCATTTAACAAAGGGCCTTCTTCCAGTGGATCTTTAACATATATAGGTGTGATATTTATAATATAGTTTATCAGTATCCCATATTCCACGTTATATATATATTAATGTTTTTAAATATCGTTTATCTAATACATTCTCTAACTACACAAATCTATGTCAATAAAGTTAAGAAAGCACATTTCCTTTATTAAATAACAATAGTAGAAAGAAAATAAGTGTGAATTGGGATTACTTTGATAGATTTAATTGATATTCATTTTTACCAGTTTGTACTTTTGAAAATTTAACAAAATTTAATATAACACTTTTTGATTACAGCAAAATCGGATAAGATTATTACTTATATATTACAAAGTTCCATCTAAAAAAGATTCTGCTAATTCAAGACTTAAATCAATGTGCATTTGCGCTAAATTTATTCATGAGCATAGCTGGCCCAGTGATAACCTTCTTTTTTCTTTTGGGATTGTGATATATTTCTTGGTTAATATCATAGTGACGCTAAGGCGTAAAATGAAAAGCAGGCCAAAATCTAACCAAACTTTTTAAGGTTAACAAAAATATTTTATCCTTCTTATAATTTACCAACAATCAAATTCAACATAAGGCTAGGCAAAACAAGTGAGCTTGTATCCAGAAAGATATCAATAATTAATGAAAGGAATAGTTTTACAACTCCCAACACCAATTGAAAAAAGATTTGAAGGAAAATATTATTATCTCATCAATTGATAATCTTTATGACGTATCTCCGAATAAATCAAATTCTATAAATTCTAAGGGCTTTGAAAGAGACATAAAGCAATTTACCATATGCTAACTATATTGATATTTATTTATAATATAAATGTTAGATACCTTGTATTATATATTATATTTTGTTTGGATTCTTACAATTGGTGAGTCCTCATTGGAATAAATGTCATATTAATCTGTGTCGAATACGTGAATT